AGAAAAAGAAAAAAATAATCACAGACTCAGCTATTCTTTACTTCCTTCAGATAGGTTTGCCAAAGAAAGTCTTCCAAAGTAACTGCAAAATGAAAGTAGCTTAACTGTTTTCCTATGGTGATGTTGCCATGAATTGGCTATGATCTAAATGGAGAATGTACTGATTTTATGACATTAACATATATGTGGTTTCTTCAATTAAGTCTTTTGGAATATTTTGTCCTATGTCTTCACCACTATAGCAAGATAATATGTCTATTTATAGAATAGAATTACAGAATTTTGCCAAATTGTTTAAAAATATTACATTTCAAGAACAGCTAAGAAATCATCATATATAGAAAACAAGATACGCATTGTATTCACTGGTAAAAGCTTTTTCTGTCTTAAAGGAAAGGGATTTTTCTGCATGACTTTTTTCAACTGTGATTAAATTCTAAATTGACAAGAGCATTCCAGACTAGCTTCACCTGGGTCACCCCAGGCCATGAAAATTCTGGTAAGTCTTAGTCATCTGTGAAAACAAAAACCAGATCCTCTGGACCTTTAGACTGTGACCATCATTCCACAGAAGCCACATTGGAATGCCACTAAAAAGTGTATTGATATAACTCAATGTTGTGGGTTTATGGAATGTTGTACTGCTGTCAAATCAAGATTTTAGGGCCTCATAATCAACATCTCGCAAGGCCTAGATTCTGTTTATTCAACTTTATATAAATTAAATCTCCATTAAAATGGTAAGGAAGAACACCCTTCTGAGTTTTAATTTTTAAGGAATTTCACGAAATAATAATCACTCACACATATACACATAACTTCATTTTTTATAAGTGGCTACTATTATAAAAGAAGGTAAATAATCTGTTGAGAAAGCATGCAACCTCAGCAGAAGCAGCAGCAGCAGCCGGTAACCCTGACCACATTATAGTCAAGGACACAATCTACAGAAAGTAGATCGATATCTTACTCTTGAAGTATGATCATCGGCCCATAAAGTAGATGCTATTTTTAAATGCTTACAATGACTCTTAAAAATCCAAGGATCCAAAAACATCAGCCCACAGGAAGTCTAAAGGATATGTCTGACTGAAAATGATTAGAAAAAGAAGTCTGGGTAAACCATTTTAAGTTTCAACAACACAATGCAAAGAGGCACATGAGCACTTTGAATCCAGGATGCATAGATCAGTGGTAGGTCTACATATTGTGTGAAGATGATAAGAATAGTATGAGTTTACTATGAGCCCAGAGATTCAGATTAAGGCTCAGAAAAGCTTAGTGTAGCTCAATTATAAAAACTGTACTAGTGAACTAGTTATGTCTTTTCACCAAGAGAAGTGACTATTTACTGTTATGGTTTTAGGATCTATTTTTCAGTAGACATGAAACGACAAGGAGAGATTGAGTCTTGAATCTTGCACATACATCTAAAAAATACTTATTGCAGTTGTGTAGGCACTACAAGAATCATAAAGACATTTTAAGCAATTCCCATATGCATTTGATAGCTTGCATAATTCAAAGTAATAATGTAGAACACACCCCCACCCTGTTAAAGCAATGTTTTGTATCAAGTGATACTTACCTATTTTGCCCACTGCAAGCATTAGTGTCTTGAAACTAACATCCCAGTGTGTATATTTGTAACAAGATCTGAAGGTGTGGATTATATCTTATGACATTACTTTAATCATATCTACATAAATAGCAAGCATGTAAAAATCTGCTAGAATCCTCTGGGTCTCCCTTAGCTCTTTAGGTCATTGTAAGGTTTTCATCTTGAGTCACAATTTCCCCTTTTTCATTTTTCTGATCTCCTTTTCAATCATTAATCCTTGTTCCCCTTTCTTTGGTCTTTGTGGAGAAGCTGTCCTTCATGTGGTCCTGCTCAATGTGCTCTTCCAATATCTCTCTGCTCATCTCCACAGGTCAGACAAGTTCCTTTTCAAGTCAGAAGATTCTGTTCTCTTCACAGTCAATGTTCTATTCCATTTTGTGTGGTCATAATCTGTAACTAACCCCATGATGTTAAAGGGCTTTATCTTGACCCCTTTGTGAGGAAGCATACTTTCTAATTAAGGAAAGGTTGACTGGTATTTGTCTTTGTAGATACATGATGTACTGTTAAATGCCTCCAGCAGTGCCTCATAACTCTCAAGTGTTTGTTGTCAGTGCTCATATTGGCTTGTACACAGTATCATTTCATTTGATCTTCACAACAGTCTTATAAATATTAAACTGTGCCTTAAGGTAACATATTAAAACTACAGAACAAAAATAAAAATACAGAACAAGAAAAAAAATCAAAAATACAGAACATGAGAAAAGCAGAATCATTATGACAACCTGAGACACCAAATTTGCATGTGAGATTGCTTTCCTTAGAAAAGATCAAGAGTCTACACAACTCAAAAGTTATCAGAACTTTGACACCCAGCACTTCAACTTAAAATAAGAGGATTCATTCTTGGTTACTTCCTGACTGGGCACTTTACATACAGTCATTATCATTTCTCTACTTAGAAGTATAAGCAGTTCTAGTAAAGGAAAACAGAAGCACGTAACCATGGAAATATGAACAATCATGAAGTATTTAAATCTGGAGAGTGCACTGGACTAGCAAAACCAAAGTTGTTGAATTAAAACAATTATTCTTTTTGTTTATGTGTGTCACTTGGATTAAGCTTAGGACCTCATACAAGCTAAGCAAATGCTCAGCTTTTGAACTATGCCCCCAGCCACAAAGGAAAAATAATTCTTAAGAGTAAAACGTTTGTATAGAAGTGAAAATTTTTAATTATATATTTATCTCTTTGAATTTTGAAGAAAATCCTTAGGAATACTTTGCTTCAAGAATAAGTTTTGTTTGACTCAAGGATTTTTTTTTATCTCTAGTGTTGTCATATGAGGAATTCTGGAAAAAGACCAAGCACATGACCCACAGCACTTATCAAACTTGACAGTGTTTTTTTCTGAAAAGTATTTCTTGTCATACATAGTATATTAAAAACACTGATAAAAGAAACGTCAAGAACAGAAAAATGTTTGTTTATTCATGAGTAAAGTTTTAGAAGTACTACCAAAGTAGCCTAAGGGATAAAGCCATATATGATCGATACATCTTTTTTCTTATGTTAAAATGTTCAGGAAGGGGTTAGAGAGGTAATGAAATCAGTCCCAACACCCATGCTGAGTGGCTCACAACCAAGTGTAACTACAGCTTAGCTCTAAGAGTTCCAACACCTTCCTCTGTTCTCCACTGGATCCATGCTCGTATGACATACACATAGTACGCAAAGGAATAAAAATTAAAAGCAAATCTGAAAATATATACTTATGATAACAGCTCCAAGTATAGGCAGAAGTTGTAATTTTGAAATTGTTATTGGTGAAAGATTAACAATGTAAGATAAAGAATTGTTTTTACTGCCCAAATGTGCAACTAGTTTGTGGAGTAAGTACTACTCAACAATACATCAATCATAAGGCTAAAATGAAAAGCAGTTCTCAGATTTGGAATTAAATCTGGCCAATGATTTTTTAAAAATACATACATAATTCCTAAGCATACCCAGAAAATAGGAAACTTGAATCAAATCATACACTTGTAGTCAAGATAAACATACTTACTATTCTTTTGAAAAAATATGAACTGTCTTATTAGGACAAGACAATTCAGACTCAGACACCTTGGTTTGTATTTCCTAAGGAAATGTCATTTTTGCTTGCTTTCTGGTTTTATGAGAACAGGATGCTGAGAGGGTTCATGCTTTTCCCCAGTGGCTTCCCTTTTGTTCTTCTCAGCAACGTGATGTGGACTGAGACCACTAAGTTAAAAAAACGGTTGGGACAAGCAAAGTGCTTATAAAACTGACTATCTTTAAATTTAAGAAACAGTACATTTTGAAATTCAGACTTTTTGACATTCGGGTAGGGTGCCTAGTTTGACATACCTCAACCACTGAATCAACACATTCAAATTTTAAAAGTTAAGAGAGTTTGAGACATAGTTGAGATATACTAATTCCACATAATAAGATATACCACAATTGAAGTGTGTGTATTGTGGTGTATCTTATAATTATTTGGAACATTTTGCCATTGTATGCATGACTTTTACAAAACAATTTCAGTGTGACTGGCTGTAATTTTCTTTTTAAGTAAGTCCTTGTAAATGTATTGGAGAACTTTTCATCTTATTATTCTAGATTTCAACAATAAATTTCTGTTCAATTAAGAAAATAAAGTGTACTATTAAATTGTTACTGTCTCACTAGACAGAGTTCTCTGACTTTCATAATTTCAAGGTTTATATTCATAGCAGTTAATAATTTTCTAGCCTCCTTCCAGCTTGATGCTACTGTCCTTCCACTGCATTGTGGCATCGATACACGCTATTCTTCACCTTTGTGGCAAGTCATTGACAAGATGACTTCCATAACTCGTGTTCCGGTGTTCTGGGGATTCATTAGTAAATACTATGCCACTTATTTACTTTCTAATTTAATTTCCCTTTTGTGTCTATAATTTACTTTTTCATTTCTTTGTTTAAAATTACTTTCATTCCTTCTTCTAATATTTAATTAATGAACCTTCTGTTTTAGTTTCAATAAAGATGTTTTAAACTAACTTAAATGCCATAATATAAAATAGATTAACTCTTTTCAGATAACTCAAAATACCTATTCTAAAACTAATATTTTTAAGTTTTTTAATTTTTTGTGTAGAGAGTTCATATCCTGTAATATGAAGTTAGTATTGGTACTGATTTTTTCTGCAATATACTTAATTATAATATTGGCTAGGCTCTACTTGCTACAATTTGGATTCACTTTTTTAAAGTTTTAATGAAAATGGATTCTTCTCTAACACAATACGTTCCAATCACAGTTCCCTCTGCCTCCACCTTCTGCTCTCATTTTAATATTTAAATACCACCTTGCTTCAAGTATGCTTTCTGAGAACAATTTTATTTTGTTTGACTGTTATTTTTGCAGAACATGGTTGGAGAATGGGCCTTAACCGAAGACATGGCTGACAGTACACCACCCTCCAACAATTGCATATTAGGCCATGTGCTTCAAAGATTAATTGAAAAATCTATGCCTTCTCAAGATAATGCAGCAGAAACTGAACTACTGTCATATGCTGTGAAGGGATGCTTACTGGGGAAAACACTCAGTGGAAAAACTACTGCTCTAAAGTTTCTACAAAAAGGTGTTTCCTTTCTTTCTCTTTTCCTTAGTAGATTCTGTTTATACTGACTGTAACTACAGCTGTCTATGTCCTTAAGATGCATACCAGAGACTTCATTTAGAGACTATCATCAAAATTTTATAGTAGTAAAATCATGTGACTGATTCTCCATATACAAGAATGAGGTACTGGCACATGCTTTAGAATGTTCAGTCTTGGCAACATTATGCTAATAGAAACCAGACAGAGAGGGTGACATAAGTTTAACTTATGTGAAGTAGTTCAAAATAGACAAATCCACGGAGATAGAAAATGATTCATGTTTTTTGGGACCATGAATTGGCTAATAGTTATACTAGCATAATAGATGGGGATTTACTTTTGTGGTGATGAAAAATTCCTGGAACAAGGTAATTGTGATGGTCACCCAGTTTAGTGTATTTCTCAGTACTATTGAGTTGTATCCTTTCAACTAGCTAAAGGATTAATTTCATGTAATGTGAATTTTTTTACAAGGAAAAAACAGGTTAATCCAAAGGACAACTTTAGGGAGAGCAGGGTTAGAGTGTTAAAGCAGAATACAAATGTAATAGTGATAATTCTCAGAGGGCAAAGATATTTATAAAACTGTTTTTTGTGCTTTAGACTTTCCTCTTCGGGTACTTTCTATTGATACTCTTGTCCAGGAAGCTATCCAGGCATTTCATGACAGTGAACAAGCCAGTGGGATAAAACCATTTCGGAAGGAACATAAAGAAGAGCCTCTACTGGACCCCAAAGAATTTATCAGGAAACAGGCAAGTGTGATTTTAGTTTTCTTCAGCTGGTATACTACAGATAAGGACCAGGATAGAATCCAAAGATCATCCAGTAAAGATCCAAAGAGTGAATAGTTTAGGTTATACATACCAATAAGTAAAAGAGAGGGTACTCTCTGAACTCTACCCCATTAAATTGATTTTTCTGGGTGGACCATTCAAAGTGGTGAGTTCATTTGAGTTTTGTAGCCAAATGATGAAGATGCTATTCAGAGGCAGGATATGAGCTTCTGAGTGATTGGGGTTTTTAGAGGACTGGAACATATATATATGGAATGGCAGTTGTTAGGGGAGTGGCCTGCATCTGCAACTAAAATCATCATCTCCTAGACTGGCATTCTACCACTCAGCATCAGGAAGTTGAGAACAATGGTTAGAGACTATACAATTTGCCTTTGGCAGTGGATCAGACAGGTGCTGGACCTTGGATCTTGACAAGGTTAAGGGTAAATAGAATGCTTTGTCTCTAGGTTCACAATCTGAGGCTTCTTGGATGCTGTTGAGGAACCATATGAAAACAGCTAGTAGGATCAATGTAGTCCACAGCCAGAGTATACCAACCCATGATATATTTAAGTTGGACTCTAGGTAGGGGCAGAACTCCAAGTGGCTTAAATTGATCACATTTTCATTATTTAAAATTGACATTGCAATTTATTACATTATTTCACAAAATATAATCCTACACGCTGTGGGTTAGAAAAGTATTATGTGACTTTAAGCGTCACTGACTTGGTTCAGCTCTCATTTTTTTTCTAGAGACAGTAGTAGAGACCCTACATATGGATTAGCTTTCTCAAGGTCAGAGGCTTGTAGAAGCCTATGTTATTGAATCTTAGATTTGAAGCTCACTACTCTTTCTCTTACCTCACATTGTCTCTGCCATTGAATCAATTACAAAAAATTTATTCTCAATGACTTTCATCTACAGGACAAATACTAGTAAATCATGCATTATGAAAATTTGTTTTACTGTATGGTTCCTTCTTCTATCGCATTATGCAAACTTTCATTTTAATCAGCAGAATAATTGATAATACACATTTTCTCTCTTATTTATTTATGGTCATGACTGACAGCTTTATGATTATTCTTTTAAGATTTTTTTCTACAAACTAAACATTTCCCCTATTCTTTTTTACATTTCCAAAATAGTAGTTTCTTTATTTTACATAGAAATTGAAAGTCATTGAAAGGTTATATACCACCAATAACTCTGTGTCTCTACAAATTCAATACTCACCAAATAATCATTTAGGATAGAAATTCAACCCAGTTTAATATCATTAATGTAGATTAAAGTTTGCTCTCAAACACTAACTGAAAGAAATGAAATGGAAATGGTATGAAAATATAACCATATTACAACTGTGTTTGCTTTTTTTAACCATAGGATAAAAATACATTATCACTCCCTCCAGTTTCAGGGCAAGCAGAAACACCAAAAGAAGGTAAAACTATATAACTATTAAGTAATGTGTCTAAACAAGTCATCCATCATTTACATTGCAGCATGATAAAAGGAGATACAGAAACCCTAAGAGTGCATGTATGGGGCCACAAACATGATTTCAGGGGAAGAAAAGATGAACAATGGATAACTGAATACTTCTCTGTTTTTATTGAAACAATGCAAGGTAGTCATTACCTACGTTTGAGGATAAAGGTGAAATTAAAATGAATATTTTCACCCTCTTCCTTAAAGTAGTTTCTCACTTTTGCCTTTATGAAAGCAACCAGGAAGCAACAAGTTCACTCACCTCTTTCTTGGTATCTTGGGTTTTTTTTTCTTTTTCACCTATTTAAGTCTGAGTGAGAGGTTAATATCAGAGCTCTGTGCATAGAGGAAAACTTGATTCTGTTCTCTTCAACTCATGGGACCAATGGTCCCTAATCATTGAATTGGGTTGGTTCTCACTCTTCAATAGCAATAGAACTGAGTTTACTGACCCCCAACTACAAGGTATCTCCTTGTGAATCCAGGCTAATTACTTCAGATCACTTGTATAATCACTGAAGGCAAACATACTAAGTATCAAATGACCTTCCTGTGTGTGTTACTGTATCATTTAGTATATTTCAATTTATTTATATTTTATTATGAAGCTCAGATCCTCTTGCATGATCACTGCTATCTACTGTCACCAAAGAACCATGCACAGACTTGCAATAATCGTGCAATTTTTTCTGAGGTGACATTTCCATTTCTTTTGAATGACATTCTCAGCTACCTTTTTCCAATTATTTTGTAACTTAATAGATTATTTTAGTACTAGTATTGTGACTTCTCACCATAAATATATTCTGAAAACACTTTTCCATATAACTGAACTAAGAGCTCGTTCGAATTTCTGATTGTTTCTAAAATGTTTGTTATCCATAATTTCACAATCCAGGAAAATAAAAGTGTAGAGAATTAACATTTCTATGTGCTTTTTATTTGAGAAAGCAGCTTTGTTTACCAAAGAAGAAACTGAAGTTGTATATTTTGAGTTTCTTATGAGCTCAGTCAGACCATGCTAGGAAGGAAGTGGGAAGCATCAAGCCACACAGAGGCCAAGATCTGCAATGTTGTGGACTGAAAGTAAAAGTCCGGCTGCAGAGCCCGCTTTGCAACCTTGCTCACTATACCAGGCATGGCTGAGTCCAATGCCCTTGTTCCCCTGTCAGAGAGGGCCAAGGGCTAGCATGGGTTTTAAATGTAAATGCTGGCACTTTGCTCTTACTGTCTTCTTCTTAACAGATGTCAACACTGATGAAGGTGAAGATTTCAAACCAAGCGATAGTTTTTTAAATGTAAGTATTAGAATCTAATTTTTTCTACTCATATATTAAAATGTGTCCTAGTTTGTATTCTTTTGAAATATGTCCAGGTGGTGTGAACTAGCAATGTTCTTCTATTTGATTTTTATATTATGTTTGATAGAAGAGTGATTAATAGTAATGGTTGTATTCATTTGAAATATCAATCAACAGAAAGGCTGGGTTTGTTTCTGTAGTTATAGTTACTGATTTGTGAAAGCATCCAGTTCAAAATATTCAGTTCTATTCAAAAGAACATGTTCTTTCCTACATACTGGATTATTTGGGCATGTCAATAAAAAATAAAAGATAGCATTCTCTGCTCTTATGGAGTTCACATTCTCATGGAGGTGGGCAGGTAATCAGCCATAAACACTACCAGATGACTTGAAGAGCATGGTAAAATATAATCAGGTTCAGGAAAAACTGAAAGGCAGATAGCAGCATTTGGGGCAGGGGAAGGAGAGAGCATGTTGTATTAAATTAAGATAGGCCTGCTGGAGAAAGTACTATTTAGGCAGATTGAAGAGGTAAGAGAATTAGATCCCTGGACTTAGGAAGCCTCTCCAGCATAGTCACAGGGTAACCAACATGCTCAACAAAGGCTAGGAACAGAAAGATGGTTAGAGATATGAGTCTTATCTTGCAGAGCCTGAGGAGTACTTATGGTGACATCTGTCATTACAGTATGCTGCTGTACTTTACTTGGGTTGGATGGTTTTGAGTAGAGCTAGAGTCGCATTTGATGTAAAACCCTGAGTGAAGAGCCAGCCCTGGGGAAGCCCATGTTCAGTGATATTACACAACGGATGATGGACAAAACCAAAAAGTTAATCACTAGAGTGAACTTGTGACAGAAAAAGAAAAGACAATCAAGGTAGAAGAAAAATGGAGCTGAAACTGTGGAATTTGATCACTGAAAGATAGCCATATGGGTGTGTGTCTTCCCCTGGGTGCATTCTCCCATAGATAAGACTGGTTAGAGCTGAATCATCATGATTGAAAGTGTGAGAAGATGAAATTTGACATGCCTGGGCAGCAGAAAATTAGAGAAGAAAATCATAGAGTAAAAGGAACTCCAAATAAAATGCTTCAAAATTGGTACAGATTTTTCTTGAATATTTCCCTGGCTCCAGAAGTATGGTAGGTCTTCAGTATCTCCATTAGCGAGCATGATTACTGAACTGCTTTTAACTCCAGACATCTTTTCAGTCAATTCTCTCACACCCTTCTTCATTTCCTTCCACAGCTTAGTTTGCGAGCTCAACTTGGTGCAAAATCAGATCAGTTGCTTAAAAAAGGAAAGAGCATTCCAGACATACTGCTGGTTAACATCGTGGTAAATGCTATTAAGTATGTATTGCACTTTCCTTTCTCATACCTATTTAATATATTCTTTTTTCCTATATGTATAGGAGTATGTGTTTGTGTGACTTATGTTCTTATGTAGATGTGTGTGAGAGTATGCATGCCAATAGTATAGAAGCCTAAGATTGACATCGGAATTATGTTGTTCCTCTCTAGTGCTGGGATTAAAGATATGGTATTCCAAAGGCTGAGATCACCTTTGTGTGAGCTCTGTTTCTCTTTTAGACTGAACCAATTTTGTGTAGCTCAGAGTAGCCTTGAACTCACAGTGATTCATCTGCCTCTGTCTCCCAAATGCTGGGATTAAAGGTGTGAGCCACCACTGCCTGGCCTCTACGGCTGTGGCTAACTTTGCATTCTCATCTTCAGGCAAGATTTATTTGTTAGATCATAAACAAAATATCACCACAGAACTGTCTCATTTTTCTTTCCTTATCCTTTGAATGATAGTCTCACTCAAATCCTGTGCTGCCCATAAAAGCCAGTCTCCCTACCTAGCCTACATGGAGATGCCTTGTCTCAGACTTCTGAGGATATAATTATGGTGGGCCCCACCCCCACCAAACCAGCATTTACACTAGTTCTCAGAATCTGAGCTCCAGTTGCCATGATTGCATGATAAACACTTTAACTGCTGAGCTATCTCCCTATCTCATTTCGCATATTGTGAAGATATGTGAAGAATAATATAAAGATGCGACTTTTTTCTATTCAAATATTTCTAATATCCAAATTTACTCCTAAAATAAAGGGAAAATGTATAGATGAACATGCCTATATCTCTCTTCTCTCTGACAAACCTTGACTTCTACCTGATGTAAGCATAGGTTATAATATCCTTGGGGAATTCACGGAAATTGGACAATTAGGTAAATCAAAGGACAAGTTGTGAGAAAAAAGATCCCAACTGAATGGTTTCCACACTTGCTTGTGTTATGTTTCAGGAAGAGGGCAGAAATTGAGTCCAGGGATTCAGGGGCTAAACAACATTAGGGCAACAGGCAATGGTTCACAGGCTAGTCAAAGCGCATATGTGTGACACAGGGAGAGTGAGTGATAGGGGAGAAAGGGAAAAGTTCAAAGAGCCTACATTTTGTAATTTCTGTGTCCTCCTTTCTATGTAGAAAAGACTTCTCCTCAACCTTGTTCTGTTATACATGTATATTACAAGAGTCAGTTGACCTGTATAATAAAGGAAAGGATCCACACAGACAGGAAAAAAAAGAGTAAAAGACTTGGTTGAAAGAACTGGATGGCAATAATGGAACTGCTTAGCTGTGGTATGTGGGAAACATTATGACACAAGAGGAAGGAGGGTTTATGGAATTTTTACTATCCATCTGGGATGAACTCCTCCATAATGTTGTCTTAAAAGACTGCTTTAAAGATGTAAGCTGCTTCCCACTCACGTATCTAGCATCTGGAACTCAAGGCTGCTACCCTCAAAGCTGGAAGGGTTCTTATCCGTGCATTTCTCAGAACTGACATAAAGTACACTTTACCACAGTGCTCTTTGTTCGTAGAGCAAATGAATATTCAAAGCATCCGTCAGCCCTCCACTCCAGTGTCAGTGGGTCTTAAGGACCCACACTCCACAACAGAATCACCCTCCTACCACAGAACACCATTTCCATTTCCTCCAAGACACCTCCGGAGGACCGTCATTAGCTTTCAGTCTTTTTGTCTAGTCCAGTGAGCAAAGGAACATTAGATGTTGTAGTTACATAACTGTCTGGGTAGTGATGTAACAAAATCTAAAGCCAGGCCCACGGCTCTCTGATGTCTGCTGTAGCACTGAACGGGTGTAACTCCAAGTTCTGCCTCTGTCTGTTATGGCTTCTGAGATGGCAGATCTCAGAAAAGGTCACGCATTGAAAGGAACTCTTTTCTCTGTCTTGGACAAATGGATTAGTAAATTCAATCTATGCAGAATGCTTGATCTCTCTCTGGAGAAGTGATGAAAATAAGATGCACTGTCTTCCTGCTCACTATAACCTGGTGGAAGAGATAAAGGCAGGTACCAGAAGGAAGTTTGGAACTGTGCTAAGAATTTAGATAAGAGGCTTTCTGCAGTTTGATGCTTTTGATCAAGTAACACAATCTTTTCTTAAATTTAGTTCCCACTTCTTTCTGCCACACTGTCTGAATGAGTGCGTGCTGACACCTAGAGACTATGAAACTTATGAAAAGGTGATTCTGTTGTCTAATATGAGAGTTAGCATAGCAATAAATAAAGTCACACCTTTAAAATATAAGAGAAAAATTCAATTTAGCATAATCTGAAGGTATAACAGAACAAAGTTGATACTTAAGTCCTTTTTATATAGTTTGTACATTGTCTGCCAAAGATAATGTGCTGAGTGAAAACAAAACTTAACATACAGTCCTTAATACTTCAGAAATCTATAACCCAATTCAATTAATGTAATTTTTGAAAGAATAACTTTAATGTTTATGTCAAGATGTATTTAACCTAATGGTGAAATTATTAAGAGCCTGAGGAGTTAAGATCAGCCTATTCTAGGAGTAGGTAATGTGAGAACAGTCCCCCAAGTTGGTGATGAGAGTGTTCAGTGTGGGCTAAGATATATCTCTGATTTATTAAGTATGTCACTTCTGTTCATCTATACAAACCCCAAATGAGATATTTTATAGTACCCCATTGTATAGATGAGGAACATGAGGTACAGAAGAAGTGCAGCCTACTTTGAGCATGAAGTAAATAATTCTATGTGTATTCACATAATAGTGAGGATATCTACCTGTAAGTATTTGAACAGTGAGAGTGTAGAAGTTTGGGAAAAAGAAGTTGTGGTCATTTAAAGAGGATATTAAGGCTTCTCAAATAGATTTCAAGAACAGCAGTGACCCACAGAAGGATTTTAAACAAGTCAGCAACAGAACACATTGAAAAGTCTAATGTTTTAGCTATAAAATCCTGAAATACATGCATAGGATGCATTTGCATTGAAGACAAAAGCATTCATTGTGTTACTAACTTCTGTAAAGGAACAGTATCCATCAACATGCTAATGAATTGTGCCATTTGAATTTAGTGGGATTCCTGTGAACCAAAGCTGGGTTCTTGATGGGTTTCCAATGACATTAAATCAAGCTCAGCTCCTAGAAGAAGCACTGACAGGCTACAAAAGAAAATGCATGGAGGCAGAGAGAAAGAAAGCACACATGCCCACGCTGGCCTTGGGCCCTAAACCTTCCAAAGAAACCACTCCTCTCCCATCTGCATTCGATTTTGTCGTACTACTAGACATTTCAGACAATTCATCACTGGATCGCATGAATAATATCATAGGTAAGCTGAATGCATTGATTTTAAACTTTTACACATTTTCAGAATTACACTTGCTTTTAAAATTTGTTTGACTCCATTTTTTCTTTTCTTTTTGTTTATTGTTTTTGTTTCCTTTTTCAAGAGAAAGAGCACAGGAAGTTGGGTAGATAGGAAAGTAAACAGGATCTGAGAGGATTTGGTGGGAGGGGAAAAGCATGATGAAAATATACTCTATGAAGAAATAAATAAATAATTCTTCTTTGACTAAGTGAATATTTCCATTTAAAAGTGTGAAGAAGAATCTATTTAGTTGATTTTTTCAAAGATTATCCAACTGAAGTCATTGTTCCTTATTGTAACTGTCGGTATTGAGAATTAGCTAAACCTGGGTCTCAGGGAGAATTCTAGGCCAACTATAAGCATTTTCACTGAACCTTCCCATCAGATTGACAATTCTCCATGCCAGAATTTCCTCTGTGGGATTTGTGCATGTGGAGAAGCAATTTGTAGCCAGCTGGTGCCATAATGATGTTGACAAAACTACATCAATGTTGAATGTGAGGACCTGGCAACTTCCTTTCTTGGGTTTTGTCCTAACATTCAAGATCAGGAAGCAATGGCTTGAAGCCTTCATGTGGTGAAGTTGAATATTATTGCCAAGACTCATGATTTATTTGACTTATCATCAAAGTGAAAATATTTTTTCTATGTATTAAATACTTACCATTGTAAAAATACATATTTTAACCCTTCATTTCACATTAATAAGGTACTTGGAAAGCTTAATTTATTGTGTTTTTCATTTTTTAAAGTTTATATTGCTATCTACTTTTTCTTTTCTGAGGTAAGGTCTCATTTTATTGCTTAGGCTGATTTCAAACGCATAGACTCAATGATTCTCTCATCTTAGCCTTCTTAAACCTCAATTTCCCATCCTATATAATGAGTATTACCATGGCTATTTGAAGACATTGGACTTAAACACATAGATTTGGTATGGTAGGTAGTCAATGTCAGGAAAGTTTGTAGAAAGCTTTGACATGAATAAGAAATGACTGGGTGTCTTTTCAGTAGAGACCTTTGTATTTTCTCCTAGATGTTTTGGGACAACTGATTCTATCATGACCTGTGTCTTTGACTCAACTATTTTGTAAATCAATGAAAATTCCTTCTTTTTATAGTCAGCTTTGTGAATTTTCTTCTATTGAGATTAAAATTTACACTATCAAAAGATCTCTGCAGGTATACTTCTCTATAGATAGTAACCAGTCCTTTCAGCTATTAATATCTATTCCTCCATTGTCAATTGTTTATAAGTGTATGTACGTTTTCCTTTTGAACTGATCATAACACATTAACAGTTCTCTTATTGACACACTGAATGATTTCTAAGACACAGTTCATTTCATGAATCTTTGTTTCAGATTTTTTTTTAACGTTTTACCGAATGATACCATTAACCATTCTTTTGTTAAATCTGTCACTATTGATGCTGCAACGATAAACGGCACACTTCCTGAAAGTAGAAATAAGTATTTATTGTAGAAATTACTCACAAGAGACCAAACAAGTAACCCGGATGAGCCGAGTAGTTTTCTGCCGCCGAACTGGAAGCCCAAAGCCAGAAAAAGCCTTTTATGCCTTCTCCCATAATGCCCCTAGCCATGCCCAAAAGTGGGCCTGGCTAGTGACGTAGTTCACCGTCTACGTCCGAATACGTCTTTAGTCATGCCTAAAGTGGGTACGGTTAGCGGTGTGGTAAACCGCTCTTTTATTACCTCATCTGTATGTGCCTCTAGTAAGTCACATGGTTAATGGCGGCATTGTTTTCCTCCTACAACTATTAATACAGCACTCAAAGGTAGAACTAGCTAAGAAAGTGGTGAAGGAATCAAGCTCTTTATTTGCCCTGTGGCTTTATATCCCATGCCATTATTTACTTACTTGGCAATGGGGATTTAAAAATGTGATTACTTGACTTCTTCAAGCTCACTCTAGTTCTCAGTATGGATGTAGATAATTTGACATTTTATTTTAATTTTTTATAATAATTTTTATTCAACTTTTTACACACTTTACTCCCAGCTCCCTCTCCCTCCCCTTGTCCCCCTCCTTCCAGTCCCCCAAGCCCCCTACTCCATTCCCACTCCATTCCCCCTCCATTCCCCCAGGGAGGGTAAGGCCTTCCATGGGGATTTTCAAAGTCTGTTATACCATCCTGGGCAGGGCCTAGGCCCTCCCCCCCATGTATCCAGGCTGAGAAAGCCTCCCTCCTTGTTTATTGGGCTCCCAAGGTCCATTTGTATGTCAGGGATAAATACTGATCTACTATCCAAGGCTCCATAGATTGTTGAGGCCTCCTCTCTGAAACCTAGGATCAGGAGGATCTGGATCAGTCTCATGCTGACCTCTTAGTAATCATTCTGGGGTCCATGCTTTGCCTCTTGTTTAGGTCAGCTGCCTCTGAGGGTTTCACTAGCTGGGTTTTGATTCCTTTGCCCATTACTCCTCTTTGCATCTGGGTTCCAGGAGTTCACTTCAGTTTTTACCTGCCTGTGCTTCCATCAGCCACTGTATAAAGGGTTGTAGGATGGCATTTAAGGTAGTCATCAATCTCATTATCAGGGGAGGGCGTTTAACGTAGCCTTAATGCTAGTTGGTGTCATTCTTGTAGATCTCTGAAAACTTCGTTAGTGCCAGAACTCTCTTCCAACCTATAATGGTCCCCCTCTATTATGGTATCTCTCCTCCTGCTCTCCTCTATTCTTACCGTGATTCAACCTTCCTGTCCCCCATGTCCTCCTCTCCCCTTCTCTTTCTCCCATCTTCTTCTCCCCTCCTCTCCCCCATGCTCCCAATCTCATCAGAAGATCTCATCTCATTCCCCTTCTCTCGGTTACCATGCATATCTCTCTTAGGGTTCTCCCTGTTTCCCAGACTCTCTGGCGGTGGGATGATAGGCTGGCACTCCTCTGATCCATGTCTAAAATCCATATATGAGTGAGTACATACCATGTTTGTCTTTTTATGACTGGGTTACCTCACTCAGGATGGTATCTTCTAGTGCCATCCATTTGCCTGCAAATTTCAAAATTCTATTTTTTCCCATTGAGTGGTACTCAATTGTGTAGGTGTACCACATTTTCTCTATCCACTCATCAGTTGAGGGACATCTAGGTTGCTTCCAGGTTCTGGCTATTACAAATAATGCTGCTATGAACATAGTTGAGCAGATGTCCTTACTGTATGAACATACATCTTTTGGGTATATGCCTAAGAGTGGAATTGCTGGATCTTGTGGTAGACTGATTTCCATTTTCTTGAGGAGTCTCCATACTGATCTCCAAAGTGGCTGCACAAGTTGGCACTTCCATCAGCAGTGGAGGAGTGTTCGCCTTTCACCACATCCTCTCCAGCATAAACTGTCATTAGTGTTTTTGATTTTAGCCATTCTGACAAGAGTGAGATAGTATCTCAGAGTTGTTTTGATTTGCATTTCCTGGATGGCTAGGATGTTGAGCACTTTCTGAAGTGTCTCTCACACATTTTAGATTCCTCTATTGAGAATTCTCTATTTAGTTCTGTACCCCACTTTTCAATTGGATCCTTTGGTGTTTTGGAGACTTGCTTCTTGAGTTCTTTGTAAATTTTGGAGATCAACCCTCGGTCAGATGTGGGGTTGGTGAATATCTTTTCTCGTTCTGTGGACTGTCGTTTTGTCTTGTTGACTGTGTCCTTTGCCTTGCGAAAGCTTCTCAGTTTCAGGAGGTTCCATGTATCAATTGTTGATCTCTGTGTCTGTGCTATTGGTGTTATGTTCAGAAAGCAGTCTCCTGTACCAATTCGTTCAAGGGTACCACCCACTTTCTCTTCTAAGAGGTTCAGCGTGGCTAGATTTATGTTGAGGTCTTTGATCCATTTGGACTTAAGTTTTGTGCATGGTAATAGGTATGGATCTATCTGCAGTCTTTTACATGCCAACGTCCAGTTAATGCCAGCACCATTTGTTGAAGATGCTATCTCTTTTCCATTGTACAATTTTAGCTTCTTTGTCAAACATCAGGTGTTCAAAGGTGTGTGGGTTAATATCAGGGTCTTTAATTCGATTCCATTGATCTACCTGTCTATTTTTGTGCCAATACCAAACTGTTTTCAGGACTATAGCTCTATAGTAGAGCTTGAAGTCAGGGATGGTGATGCTTCCGGAAGTTCTTTCTTGTACAGGTTTGATTTGGCTCTCCTGGGTCTTTTGTCTTTCCATATAGAGTTGAGGATTGTCCTCTCAAGGTCCATGAAGAATCGTGCTGGGATTTTGATAGGGATTGCATTGAATCTGTAGATTGCTTTTAATAAGATTGCCATTTTTACTATGTTGATCCTACCTATCCAACAACATGGGGGATCTTTCCATTTTCTGGTATCTTCTTTAATTTCTTTCTTTTTAAAGACTCAAAGTTCTTGTCATACAGGTCTTTCACCTGTTTGGTTAGATTTACCCCAAGGTATTTAGTGTTCTTTGAGCTATTGTAAAGGGTGATGTTTCTCTGATTTCTTTCTCCTCGGCCCCTTTATTGTCTGTATATAGTAGAGCTGCTGATTTTTTTCGAGTTAATTTTGTATCCTGCCACCTTGCTGAAAGTGATTATCAGTAGTAGGAGTTCCCTGGTAGAATTCTTTGTGTCACTTATGTAAACTATTATATCATCTGCAAGTAGTCAAAGTTCTGAATTCTTCCTTTACAATTTGTATCCCCTTGACCTCCTTTTGTTGTCTTATTGCTCTAGCTAGAATTTCAAGTACAATATTGAAGAGATAAGGAGGGAGTGGACATCCTTGTCTTGCTCCTGATTTTAGAGGAGTCACCTTTAGTTTCTCTCCATTTAGTTTGATGCTGGCTTTTGGTTTGCTGTATATAGCTTTTATTGTGTTTAGGTATGTTCCTGTTATCCATGATTTCTCCAAGACCTTTATCATGAAGGAGTGTGAGATTTTGTCAAAGGTTTTTCAGCATCTAGTGAGAT